ATAATTTATAAATCAAAAATTTATAAAGTGCTAATTTATACTTACTGGCTAATAATCAGCATAAGTGAATACAAATGAAACCATGTTATTAAATCGAATTAAATTGAAGTATAAGTGAAAAGTCAAACATTCATACTAACATTCTAGTAATTCAAAAGAAAAGGATTAAATTTTTAAAAAAGCAATACTAATTTATTAAGTAAATAATTAATAAAATTAAGTTTGAACTTACTCAAAAAAGCTTTTAATATAAAATTGGTATCAGTTATCAAAGGTTATAGAAATAATAATCTTATGAATCATCGTAATATAAACTATACACACTGCCTAATAATCAGATAATTAGAAATCAAAATTTAAAAAGATAATTTTAAAGTGAATATAATGTGACAGTAAATTCCAATTAGAAATATATAAATATGATATATACTTTTGTTCATAATATCTTTTACTAATTATTAAAAGACATGTTAGCATGAATAAAAATCATAAAAAATATTATTTAAATAAAAACACCTACAAACTAAAAAATTAAAGAAAAAAGAAAATTAATCCATAAATTTATCGTTATAAAATAAATATCAAGGTCTATTACTTACGTATAAGACCCACTAAGAATTTAGCATAAAATATGTATCATTAGAGGTATAGAATGATAAATTTCATAAATGAATGTAATAAATTTTATACATACAATTGATATCTGAGAATATAATATTTTGTTAGATTTTAATTTAAAAAATCATTCTAGAAAAATCCAATAAAGATTATACTTACGCACTAATAGTCCAGCAAAAAAAATGCGTTTTATTACATTATAAACTTTATTAAAAAAAATATAAAATGATATTTTTTTTCTAACAAATAAATTCTATAAATTTTAACTTACGCCCTATTAAAGTAATAGCAGAATTTATATTGAATAAACATTATTAGAAAACACAGTTAATAATAATAACTTTAAATAGATAAAATAAGTATATACTTACACAGCACTAATTCAGAATACATAACATTTGGTTATCAAAGCCAATTTAATAGATCATAAAATAATACTTTTATAAATAAAAATAATATATTTACACTCTAATAATCCGATAAAGAATGTGAAAAAGCGTTATAATTTAAATTAAAAAATCATGTAGGGAATGTAGTAATTATTATCCTACTTTGGACAAAAAACTTTTAACTTGCATTTGGATATTATTGAAAAATTAATTTCGATAACTTAGTGCAAATTTTGGGACACTTCGAGAACACGGAACCCAGTGATCATCACATCACGTGAAATCATGTAATGACGTCATTTGTTTACCAACACTTAGGGTGTTTGATCATGTGATGTGATCATTGGGTTCCGTGTTATTAAAACTTCCCCAAATAATTACAGTAGGACTGATTAACGCCCTAAAAGTACAAGAATGAAATTTACACTTACGATCTAATGATCCAAAAGAAAATATGTAAAAACAAGTGTCAGAAGACGATTAAATTATAAATTGTAATTTTAAAAGAGGCATAACACAACTTACAAGCTGATAATTTAATGGAGGAATATAAGAAAATAAGAAATATGTGAAAACATGTGTTTAGAAGGCGATTAAAATTTTAATGAAAAAAGATAATTTAATGATTAATGCCAAACTTATACTTACATTCTAATAACCGGATAGAATATGTGAAACGTAATATTATTAAGTGAGAAAGCAATAGAGAATAATTTGAGAATAATTTGAAAATTATAATAATAAATATGGAAATTATACTTACATTCTGTAATTACATTTATAATAATCATAAAAAAAATAAAAAAAATAAATCATTAAAAAAGTATAATTAAAATAATCAATAATTTTTTTAATATAATTACGCTGGCCCAACTCTAACTTGACCTAACGTCGATACTAATCATGGTGAAAAGTATATAAAATATAGGTTTAATAAGATAAATCAATTAAGCAAAATAAAAATATTTAAGATAAGTTTAAACATTACACAGTCCTCTTATTCCTACTCTTAGTAAGCTTAGTGTGCTAGATAGTCCTCTTAGTAATCCTACTCCTCGTTTTTCTAACTCACGCTCTTCGGATTTATGTTCTAATTTATGATCATAATTACCATGATTAGGTAAAACAATCGAATAAGCTGTTAATAAATTAAAAGCTAAAAAAATGATGAATGTTTTATATAAAAGCATTGTAGTAAAAATTTTAAGGACTTTAATAATACTAAGTTACGAAGCAAAAAACAAATTCATTAAAATTATTAGTAATTACTACCTATATTTATTTAAAATTTGATTTTTAAATATTAAAAAATTGATGATCTTAATCAATTTTAGCGATTCCGTTTCGAAAATATGTATAAAACAAAATTTCGGAGAATTTCCTCGAACATCACTACATAATTATGTGACTACATATTTATGCAAAACGCTATAATTAAAAAAATAATAATCAGAATCGTTATTACTAAGTAAATTATTTGAATTATGTATCGAGGGTTAGTCCGATAAATAATATAATATAATTATTCTTTTTGGCGAGCGTTACTTACACATGAGGATAATTTTATTACCGTTGTCATTGTCCGGAGCGTAGCGGAGGACAATTAAATAAGGGTTTTCAAATGATTTAAAATTTTGTAAATCGCTGATTGTGTAATTATATAATGTAGAGACCCCTGACCATATATATCTGGATTTCTCTAGAGCATGCGTACTGTACACTATATACATACACATATACTTACATTCAATTTTCTATTACAGGTAAGAGCTTTGATAAACTATTACTAATTTGATACTAATTTGATACTAATTTGATAACGTTTTGATTTTAAATTTAATAAACACGATCATTGATAATCGCATAACTATAGTTTGACTTTTCATTTGAAATTGCAGAATTGGTAAGATTCTTAAAATCTACAGAATATCTGATTTTCATACGACATTGAGATCTGCAAAGGTCACATCGCGCAATAATTAATATTGTTATTACATAAATGAGTTTACAAATCAAAATAAATAAGATTTATGAATCACTGATTTTGAAATAATTAAATCGCCAATTTAATTCGAAATCAGAAATCTGAAACTAGCTTTTTTTTAAAACAAATCATAAATTTAAAAATGGTCGCAATATCGACACAGCTATAAATGTAAATTTCGGCTCAGTTATAAATGGAATTGGTTTACAGATCTCTTATTTATTAACGTTAAATTTCACGCATTAATAATAACGATAATATTGATTTGGCATTAAACTGGTTGAACTATCGGTCCGGTTCGGCATATCCTTGCTTAGCCAACTTTTCGATCTGTTCACCTTCCGTCAACATGAACGATAAGTTTCTGAATTTGTAGATTACTTCAGATGACGTTATACAGTATATATCAACTATTACAGTATTATTTAATACACAATTTTTTAAAAAACCTTTTCTAACAAAATAATTATCCTGGAAAATGCTTTGGATGCACAAAGTATCTTTTTTGTTCAACTTCTAAAATTTATTGTAATTATGAAAAAAAATAATTTTCTAGAATCATATGATAATTCTTATAAAATTGAATTCAGCGCAACTTTGAAATTTCTTTTTGTTCATCATATAATCAAATTCTTTACACCATACAAATTATATTTCTATAAAAGATACTAAATTAAATCTGCTTCACAATAATGAATCTACAACTTCTATTTCTGCAAAAATAAATCACAATTTCTTTTTTTTTGATCTGTAAATTTCATATACAATCATTTACCAAATTTCATACGCATACAACCATTTACAATAACATGCATCGATTTAGAGTTAATACTTTAATCCGGATATAAATATATCCGTATTGATATTTTGCTAAAAATTTATATTAAAACATAGTAATATAATCCAGATATAATAACATAGTAAAGTATTAACTCTACATCGATTTACAAGTTGATAAAGGCACATCAATATAATTGAATTGTGAGCATGAAGACCTTTAATGTGCCTTTTGATAAAAATTGGAAGATCGCTGCACATCCATACCACAAGATCATTTTATGTGCATATGGTGGCTTCATTGCCCATCACTAATGTTACTATTATTTTGGGAGACCTTATAGATCTATCGGCATAATTTAACTCCAATAGTTAACTTACTGTATATGTTCTTTGTATTAGAAGTATTGTAATAAATAACTTGTATTATCGATTACAACGATCACTTGAACACTTGAGATTACGTAATTAATTAATGGTTGGGGTAATCACTGAATTAAATAGTTGAAAATATAAAGTATATAGTAAATAATAGTGTGATTAATTTGTTTAACAATATAATTTATAGTATTTTATAGATATTTCCGGTGCGTCAAAAATGACGCTCTATTCATATAATGTATGACCAGACCAGTTCTGAACTAGTCTCTAAAAATCCGGTCCAGACCCGGTCTGAACCAGTTTCCTAGGCAAAATATGTTTGTATGACAAAATGTTTCAGTAAAACTGCAATAGTCAAAATAGTCAAGTAACTGCGCAACATAGTGCACGAAAGCAAAGAACGGTATATATGAATACGAAATAACAGTATTATAACTCTTAACTAACACCATTATCATTATATATTATAATACAAGTCCTTGCTAGGAGAAACATCCTTCAACATTTTATTATCACCAAATATAGATCAACATGCACAAATCATCTTTTGGATATCATCGATCCAATAGACTACTGAATGAACTACTGGGCAAACATCCACTGATCTGAAACGTCGAACGGTAATTTTTCGGGTAAAGACTGCATACGATTTTCAATACCTGTTTAAACATGATTGCACGATTTAGAATACGCGGTGATGCCGTTACATGTGAAGACTTGCGACAATGCGATGGCTACTTTTTTAAAATTCTGTGACATTCTGCGGTAACTAAGGGTGATTTCTGTGGTTTGCTGTAATTAAGAGGAATTCTGCGGTTTTCTGTGAATCACAGCAAATCATCGTCCCTGCTATGGGTAGTCCTATTCTTTCTATTATAATTTCAACTAAGCCGGTTTCCCTTTTGACCCTGTCTAAGCATTTTGTCTAGTTCTACCCCTAGGTCTAACCTACTATAACAACAAACAATTAAAAGAAATCTAAAAATTAAATAGAAATGACAAACAACTAAATATTGATATTGATCTATGTGTCAGCCATCAACTTAGCTTTGCGATACTCTGGTGGCTTATCATAACATAACCCGGTCACGGTTTTTCCAAAGGGAAAACCCGTGACACTAATTATATCACAAATAAATTAAAATAAAGGTAGGTATGAACAACATAAGTCAGGGTATTAATAATACTAATATATTATTTCCATAAAATTTATCAGTCATATCAGATATCTATGCTCACAAAAAATCATCGTATAATCGCGTAACAACTGAGATAATTGTTCAAGTGATTGTAATGGTAACAAATTTGATCAAAAGGCGCTCAATTGCAAACCGCTCGATGATCAAACAAGGCTCTTTTAAATGATTGGCAGTCCTTGGACCAGATTGACCAGCAATAATTTTTTTAAACCCCTTGATGATGTATATTATGAGACTTCAAGTGACGCTATTCACCTAATGTCATTTCTTTTTATCAAATATTTATTTGTCAATCAAATTTTATTTGAGCAATCAAATTTTATTTGAGATTAATTAATATTAATTTCCTAATTTCAAGCCTCAATTTTGACAAATTCAAGAATGTGAGTGGTGATTTTAGGTCAGACCAATTTAATTCATTTAACATAATCCTCCTTTCCCTCTATTTTTCAAAATGTTATAAAAATATATATATATAATAATAATAAAAATGCACATCCAATCCTTATTGACATTTAATGCTATTTTTTGTTGCGTAATTTAAATATATTTTTTTTCAATAGTTAAATGCTATTATTTCGGGGAAGATTTAAGAAGAGTTAATCTGGTATGTTTATCATGTGATCGTTGATCACTGACTTAACGTGTCCCTTGTATAGATTCGGGGTCTGTAAGTTGATTTCTAGTCTTAGAGAAACTTATGGAATTAAATTGCATATCTTGAATAAAGGTATAATTTATCTTAACTAATCGGTAATGACCGCAAATATCGACTATTTTATTCAAGATTTTGTTCCGAATCCGTCATTCATTTACGAAAACTTCGCTTACGGATGATTGACTGTATTTTATTAAAAATTACACAAATATAATAAAGAGAATAAGGAAATCACACTGAACAAGTTGTATTAATATGAATCCTTTTTAAATACCTTGTTAACATTTTTTTTTGGTATAAAAAGAAACAGGGTTATCATAATAATTACGGTTAAAATTCGCTCATAAACATTTCAAATTAAATAACCTAACTTTTTTACAAAGATATATAATTATGAATAAACATTTAATATTTTTACTATTTGCTATATTTCCTATAGTTTGGGGAGGGCCTCAAGATTGCAAACTTTTTAGCATTGATTCTCCTACAAATTCCATGGTAACTTTCACCCCAAATCCTCCTCTCTTTGGAATTCCAATAAGCTTTAATTATTCTATCAGCAACTTAAGTACTACATCAAGATCTACCGCACTTTTTGTTGGATTTTTTGGTGACGGTGATGTTGTTCCCTTCGATTCGCACGTAATTCAACTTCAAAGTAACGTAACAGAATATATGTTAACGGATTTATATATTAATACGCCGTTACATTCGACTTCATATACGACTATGCTTGCTTTAGCAGATGATGTTAATGGTTTTATTGACTGTGTAACTTTCGAATTTCAATTTTAAAATTAGTCTACTATAATTTTCTTTTATTATTTTCTTTACAATACCTTCAGTTTTTATTATTCTTTTTTTAGCTTTTTTTTTTTACTATACATTCAGTATTCATAGCTTTTTTTCTTTTCAGTTTTTATCTGATAGTCATATCAGAATGAAATCAGCTTTTGTTCGCAATGGTTGTCAAACAATTCATTATAGTTATAGTTTTGTTTTGAAGTGATATTAGTTTGTTGTCCAGTCATGAGTAGTGTTACAAATGGCTCTGCAGAACTTTCTTGACCGAGCCAAATTTCGGCTCATATAACTAATGATTCGGTTTGTGTTACATGGTGCCGGTTTAGAGCCGTGAACCGATGTCTTAATTAATGTAATTAATACTTTAATATTTGAAATTAATTAACAATTGATAATATCTTAATGCTTAAAATTAATTAATAATAAACTATAACTATAATTATAATATTTCATAATATCATAAAAAAATAAACCTTGATAACCTTTGCATTAATGCTCCAGACTCTCAAAACTCTTTACAATATACATCTGATAGCAACTTTATATGCCACCTATATTAAGTAAGTTTCTTTATAAGAAATATAAGATTAATAGAAGAAGAATACTTATCAGAGCTCCAGTATTGTATCTATAAGATCTCAGACTCTAAAGACTCGGACCAAATCTTCTCACACCTAGTATATCAACCAAGATTTTGCATAATCTGCGCATAAAATGATATTTAAATGCCTGAATAGAGTTAGCATAATTTAGACCAAGTGATATAATCTGGGTTGGCGTAAACAATTGTGGATATAAACAATAACAAATTAATAATAAAAGTTAGAGTGGTCTCAATATTTTAGAAATCTTTGTTTTGGATGAAATACTAGGTATAAGCCTCTCTTTCAATATATAGAATCTTCTGTCTTGTTTAGGACATAGTTAATTTGAGTGAATTACAAAATATAATCAAAATAAAAACTACTTCATTATACCATACATATATAGTTTAGGAATAGAGTTTTATTATATTAATTTCGAAAATAAATTTTATAATGTAAACTATAAATACTGTAAATAAATTAATAAAATCCATATTAGTTTTTGGTAATACTTGCTCTAATAATTTGGTGACGATTACTTCGTTCCTTCCGATATCCCTAAATGTGAATGTTAAACTGAGTTTGTACCATAATAAAATTGCAAGTCTTAATTGATTTTTGATATTGGAAATATTAGGTAGCTGCGCGACGTAATCGCGCTAAAATCAGGAACGGATGCATTTTTTTTTTGTGGTATAAAATTAATATATCGCGTGAATTTCATAATGTAAAATGTTTATACTAATACTACTATTATTGTTTTGGAGAGACTTAACGATTATCAGGTTCAATTTGGTTCAATAGTAAACCAGACTAAAAATCTATTATATGTAACAGTGGTTTGTACATCTGTTAGGGGTAATTAAATTTAATAAGGATAAGGTAATGAATCAAGTTAAGGGTTGGTCACACTTATGTGATTATAGAATTAATTTAATTTAGATCAATTTAAGTATGACTTAAGTAATAGTTTACTAAGGGTTGCTTAATTAATATAAGTTTTATAAGGTAACTAAAAGGCGCGAGAGGCTAAGAATTACAAAACTTGAGGCTTGTGTCAATCGAAAATTTAGATTCTTGAAACTAGTTTCACTCTGCTAATTTTTTTAAACTTCCATTTTCATAGATCATAATTTCGCTATCAATCAATAAGGATCATAAGTGGACCTGATCTACAACAGCATAAATTACAAATAATTCAGGTATGATCTTTGATATACAAAAACTATGTACAGAATTGGTGTGCTCATTATTTCAAAAGTGGATGGGTAAGTTAATGATTTGCAACGACGGTGGAACAGTGATCTTAACAATGGGCGTTGATGATTTGAACATTGTGTTTACCGTTTCAGTAGTAGATTAGTTAGTGCACTTCATATTGATGGGTAAATTAGTAGTTTAAACAATAAGTAAATTAACGAGTGTTTTCGATTTGAGTAATGGTAAAGATTTCAACAACGAGTGGATTCAAGATTTTGTGGTATAAGTTTGTGACTAAGGATGGCTCCTAAAGTATTTTGGCGTGCCGAAAGTAATGCCGAAAGTATTTTGGCGTGCCGAAAGTAATGCCGAAAGTAATGCCGAAAGTTTTTTGGTGTGCCGAAAGTCATGCTGAAAGTCTTACCAAAAACGAAACCCTTACCGAAAATCGAAAGTCATACCGAAAATCCTACCGAAAGTAGACTTCGACAAAGGCCAATCATATCTTATAGCTGTTCTCATAAAATCTGGGACAATTGATAAAAATTGATCGGCCGAATTCAATAAGTTTTTGAATTCGGTGTTATTGAATTACTGTAATGCCGAAAATCCAATTCCGATAACACCGAATCCAAAAACTTACAACCTCCCTAGTATACCCCTAAAAAAAAATTACTAAACTGAGTTCAAATTTTTTCCGAATAATAAAATCCTATACCGTATTCTACCGTAAATAAGCACCACACCCTCAACCCCATTTTTTTAAATGCCAGATTAGCGGAAATAACTTGGCTAAAGATCTCATTGCAATGTCCGTTAATCTGACATTTAAAAAAATGGGGTAGAGGGTGTGGTGCTTATTTACGGTAGAATACGGTATTCAAAATTAGAAGTCTATAAGGCGAGACCAACTTGATTCTGTGTTTTACATTACCCCCTCTCCCCTACAAAAGAGGAGGGGGAGGGGAGAATTTGTGGTTTACATAGTAAAATTTTTAAAACTTTTTTTTTCAAAAAAAATGTTTCCGAATTGTTCCATGACTATATAAAAATTTTCTGAAATAGCCCGTAGCCCTATGTATATTTATCTAAATTTTTTTACTACGATGGAGAGAGGGGGGGGGGGGGGGGGGGGGGGGGGAGAAAAAAAAAACCGTGGGGGGCCCCCGCCCACCCCGGGGGGGTCCTTATTTTTGCGCTTTAAATTTTTT